ATAATTTCATTGTCATATAGACACATTGGCATCTGTTTCAAGGCTTACAGGATCTGGTTCAGTAAATTCTGGATTATGCCTAGAAATGATATATTTGAAACTACTATATCGCGCGGTATGTAAAATCATGCATGTTCAGCCGACGTGAATATTATAAGGGGTAATGCATATATTATGTCACACCCTAAGGGGGGAGGGGGGCGTTGTTTGATTTTGTGACAAGCAATGCATTAGGTATAGGAAAAACGTGACGAAAGGGGAAGGGGTTCGTTTTAGCGTGACATAATAAATCGATCGCTCCTAATGCAAATAATCTGAGGACAGTAGCCACTATCCAGGATCTGATCATGGTGCTCCGGAAGTCATTATGAACTAACAGTCCTAGCTAAAATATTCCAAAGAGTATGACCATCAACAATCTGATCCAGGTTTTCTGGAAAACATTCTAGCCCAATAAACGAGGCTAAAATATTTCATAGAGCGCAAAAAATCAAACTACCATAGCAAACCCATGTGAATATTACAATGCCAATCATTCAGGAAATTGTGAACACATTCCTTCATACGGGATCTGATCCAGGTTCTCCGGAAGTAATTTTGAACTAATGGTCCTGGCTGAAATATTCCCTGGAGTGCAACATAACAAGCCCAAGTGAATATTACAACTCCACCGTTTCAGCTGATTACTGGGGTTAGTAAGCAACTGTCCAGTCGCGTCTTTCATAGGCATCTTTGGATTCATCCTTGTTCCAATCAGACGTCGTGATATAGCGCAGAGGAGGTTGATATGGCATTCTCTCCTTCGTCGGTCAGGGAGTCCACTCACACTCGCTTGTCCCATCTGCAATTGCGGTTTACTCCCTTCTCTAGAGTCGACTACAGTTGACAGACTTCGTTGTTGGCTCCTCTGGTTCTCACCCGCTCTATCGCGGTTTTTGCTTCTCTACGCTCCACAATATTATGCCAGATTTAATCCATGATCCACTGTTTTTCATACTTTTTCATACAAGCGATCATATGGAAAACGATTAATTTAGGCAGGCAAATTATCTAAAATAATCGTAGGCGTAGGCGGTAGGCAAATTATCTGAAATAATCGTTCATTGCCATATCCTATGATTTGATATGCAATATGATTCCGGATATAATAGGATTTCCCGGAACCGATGCCAATGTGCCCATATGTCATCAGATACACTACAACTTGATTTCATTGATCATAGCTTGTCATTTTGGCATAATATGACAAATTATATCCCAACAAACCGTTTGCCAGAATTCACAGATCCGCGTTCCGGAACCGATGCCAAACAGGCCAAAATCGTCTCAAATCATCTTCATTCACTTGATTCTACCTATTTGCCATGATTTGATATGCCACAAGATACTTTTGCCTGAGATATTACGATGTCCTACAGTACCGATTTCCGGGACTCCCGGAACCGATAATATCGTAGCTATACGTTATGGAAATATCTAAATACAGTCTTATTAATCATATTTCATCTATCTGATATCATTTGCTGCACCATACAACCGATTCGCGTAAAAATTTAAAACATTTGGTCATTTGGTCAGACATATTTACATCTCCCAAGAACGAGGAGGGTTCTAAGAGGGTGGTACCTACGCCAAAAGTTAGTTCAACTATTCCCCTTGAATATAAATCCAACTTTATGAAAATCGGATGAAGCATTGCTGAGAACGAGTTTGTTGAAAAAAATTCGTTCGTCCTGGTACTTTACGGGTTAACCTCTTCGTAGACTTTTTTTTCCATCGGGCATTGTGGGTACCTAAACATGATATCTGTACTTTTAGGAAATTTACTCATCTACAACTTTGCTGAAGACCACACGGCCAACAACAACAACTCAGCGACTGAATTCAATTGACTCACAGCATTTTCTTTCCATACGAAATTTACTGATATTTGGGAAAACCTGCAGCACCATCGAAAAATTGTCTGTTCTAGAAAAGATTGACAGTTTCCTATGGGACTTTTCGATGGAGTGAAAGGATAGTACCATAGAGGTAACTCTAAAACTAGAAGGTCCCGAAGAAACGTGCTCAACTTTTTGGCTCATCTCTGGTACTATCTTCGGTCCCTAGCTAATCGATTCACCCCTAGAAACATAAAAAAATCCAATAACCCCTCATTTTATCTGTCAAATTTTCATAGCAAATCAAAACAAACATCGTGTTGTACTAGAATTTTGACTTGAATGGGGTACGTTAATCATTTGCTTGGGACCAAGGGATGGTCCATTAATTATGTCACGCAAATTTGGCCCATTTTCAACCCCCCCCCCCTTTTGTCACATTTTTTGTATGAACCTAATTTATTTTTTGTATGGCTCGTCACAGTTTTCAAACCTCCCCCCCCTCCCCCCTAAATGTGAGACATAATTAATGGACGACCCCCAATAGGCTAGTCAAGTAGTGAGCCAATTTAAAATCGCTAGTTTTGTACTGATTGTTGATAGTACGAAGTCCGCCATGGAGTAAAGAGCTGCAGAGTCGCCGTCAACGCCAATGTTGCCTGCATAATCAGTTGAATGATCATGGCAGATGATCACTATAGTCGCTATATTCATAGTCTGGCGGATAGAATTTCGATTTATCAAAAAGCTGAACCAATTCAATATATTGTAGACCAACAATTTAAAAGGTACTATCAACTTTTATAAACAAAACGTTGATATTATTAGCATCATCGGATAGGGGAAACTTTCCCCAACCCAAAGATGGTATTATTTTGCGTAGGCGTGTCTTGAGTCACGAGACAAAAAGTTCCGAAGTTTTGTTCGCAATAACTGATGTGCTCTTTTCTGTTGTTGGTCGTGATTTGCTCGAGTAGTTCCGCTATTTGACAGCTCAATTGGTTCCCGAGAATCTATCCGCCAGACTATGAATATAGCGACTATAATGATCATCTGCTATCATTAACAACTGATGTTATTCATTCGAAAAGTGCACGGCCAACAACAACAACTCAGTGACTGAATTCAATTGACTCAGAGCATTTTCTTTCGATACGAAATTTACTCATATTTGGAAAACCTGCAGGAACCTGTGCACTTTTCGAATGAATAACATCAGTTGTTAAAATAGAGCTAATATACTATAGAAGAAGAATAACGCTGGTGTTCCCTTTGTTCCGATGTTGAATAATATCGGGTACAGAACTGTCAAACTGCATAGTTTTTTCTCGTTTTGACAGTTGTGTCCATATTGAATGTAAGGAAAAAATGTTACGACAGTGACGGCAGCGCTATTCTTCCTCTATAGTTTATTAGCTCTATTGTTGTTAATGATAGCAGATGATCATCTGCCATGATCATTCAACTGATTATGCAGGCAACATTGGCGTTGACGGCGACTCTGTAGCTCTTTACTCCTATGGTAAAATCCATAAGCAAACGTCAGACTGTGCGTGAAACATGGCGGACTTAGTACTATCCTTTCACTCCATCGAAAAGTCCCATAAGAAACTATCAATCTTTTCTAGAAGAGACAATTTTTCGATGGTACTTATGGAGCATTTTATGAGAAGTTTCTAATTTAACTCATTAATGAACTTTGACAGGAGGCGGTTACCTAACAGCTGTGAGAAGCAACATCAAATTCTGTCAGGCAAACCAGCTCCTGTAATTTCTTAAAATGTACTATTAAGTGATGAACTTAATTTTGGGACGGCCCCGACTTCGTTGTTTACCTCTCTGTTCAAAGTCACAAGTACAAGTATCATTCCCGGATAGGTCACGAATTAAAATTTAAATAAAAAAAAAAACAGCGTATTGTTATGCCGTTTATTTGAAATAATGAACTTTGGCAATAGACTCCTCTGACGTTTGTGAATTGCACAAGTATTAGTGCAGAAATTTGGGTAAATTCAAAGGTTTTCTTGCACTAAAACATATAATTTACCCCGAGTTCTGCACTAATACTTGTGCATTTCACAAAAGTCACAGAAGTCAGCTTTCAGCTCGTTCTTTCAAATTTGGTTTTCAAATGACTTATTCAGATGACTGTGTCCATGATTGATTTTACTTTGATTTAATTTGATACTTTCATTTGATATTTTGATCTTTGAAATCGACCCAAATGTTCAAAAGTTATAAATTTTTGAATAAAGTAAATTTTGAAAAAAAAACGAATATTTGAACCACCCTAACATAGAAATGGTCACCCTAATTATAAAAAAAAATACTGGTCTAATATTTTGCGATAACGAACAAAACTACCAATTTTTAAAAGAACCACTAACCACTATTTCGTTTTGCTATGGAATGGCTGATTGTACCAAACTATCTGAAAGAACAGTTCATGTTTAATGTTTGGGAAAAACATAATTTTATTGAGTATTTTTTATTCTTTTTCATCATGAGAGTTATTTTAGATACTTGAAATTTACATTCAAAACATTTAGGTTTAAAAATGTACACATCGAACTTTGAAAAACTTGTGAGTTCCGGAATTTTTAGATTTTATGAGAAAACAAAATAGTAGATTTTCTTACTTTATACAAGATCAGTTCTTTCGAATTTTTTGGGAAACTAAGATAAACAAATGAAAAAAATTAAAATGAAAAAAATATCAATGCAATTTAATCTTCTTTAAAATGCAATAATTCTAAAAAAACAGTTTTGGGAATCCAACCTTAAGTCCTTTCGACTTTTTCTCTATCGACTATTTGACATTTGTACATTCATAAATTTCACAGGTCCACTGCAGTTTGTGGTTGATAAGTTGAGTCACCCATAATACACACCACAGACATCAAGACATCTATATCAACATCTATCCCAACATCGCAAACCAATATTACAACAGTTCCATTCCTACGAACCAACATATCCAACACAGAGCTGACACTAATCTATACAAACTTTTCCTATATTCTCTCTCTCTCTCTCTCTTCCTCTATCTTACTTCCGTTTCCTGTGAACACACTAAACACCGTTTTTTTGGTTTCGTAAAACATGTATTTGTAACAAAAGATGAGCGCTGAACCACCAGCAGCAGAGTAAGTTTTACATTACAAACAATCAGCCTCCGGTAGGAAGGACAGAATAGAAAACATAGCTTAATCTTTACAAACAATTTTATCTATATACTGATATATTTTTTTCTTTATCTGTTAATTCGTTAAAACACTAGCATGCATGCGTTTGCGTTTATTGTTGAATTTGCTTTCAAGTAATCAGTTTCGCTTTCAACAATACTAAGACGAATGTACACAGCAAAAGTTGGTCACAGCTGTCATATCAACTACCGAATGTAAGCCTAGTATGTCACCTACTCTTGAAAAAAAATTTGGCAGCACATCCATAAATTGATCAAAACTTTTCTATTTAGCTGCTGTTTTAAATCCTTAGCTGTCACAAGCAGGCATGGAAAAACATTTACAACCTTTTTCATCAAAAAATTCCGTAAAATGATGTGTGAAGCTTTGGTAGGTTTTTATGATTAACTACAAGTTTTGTCAACAATTCAAATCTGTATCTCGTATGCATGATGAATCAGAGCGAACAGAACCTACCATTGTTTTTCAGTGAATGTATTACCTTCACTAAAAACAATAACAAGTTCTGCCAGCTCTAGTTCGTCATGCATAAGAGATACAGATTTGAGTTATTCAGTTGTTGTAGTTAATCATACAACCTACAAAAGCTTCATACATAATTTTACGGAATTCTGTTGAAGAAAAAAGTTAGAGGCAAATGAATGTAAATGAATGTACGAAATCAATGTAAATGATTTTCCATGCCTGTTCACAAGAGCTTGCTACTATTACAGGTTGTGGCTTGTCACAACATCTAAATGATTGCACAAAGGCTTTGTGCAAAAATTCATTGACAGTGAGAAGGTTTTTGAGATAAACCAATTTTTTCATCGACCAACTTTTGCTATGTACATCCTTTAATCCACCATACGTTACAGTCTATACATTCAGATTTTCATATTTTACGATCAATGATACCCTTACATAATAATCCGAACAATTAATATTGCTCAACACATATTTCTATGGATAAAAAAATAATAATGAGTTGCGTCCAACCGAAGACAGCATATCCAGAAGACTGGTTACTCCTATGCTTTCTTATACAAACTCTAGAAGGCCGCTGAAAGTGTTGCTTCGAGGGTCAGGATCCACACACATACTTTAGTTTACCGAAGTCAAAAAATTTACTGAGTTTTTAAGTAACTGAGTTTTCAGTAATCAATCCCACGTTTTGATTTTACTGAAAACTCTGTAAATTGTCTAAAATATGAACTGTCAAAAAGAACCGTAGTATTCAGTAAATATTGTGGGCTTTCTCAGTAATTTATTTGATTGTTTACTAGTTTTTACTGAGTTTTCCGGTAATTTTTTGTCGGTAATTTGGCGATAAAGTCATCAGATTCGTGGAATAATTTGCGTGCAAAGGAAAACGAAAAAAAAATCAAAATATTTCACGCTCAATTTGAGCACAGACAAACAGACGTAACTCTTCATTCTGGATCTTCGTTCACGCACTAAACGATTGATTTGAGTATTATCATTTCCGCGAATTACTCACCGCAGCGCTGGCATTGGATCACTTTGACGTTTCTATATATTCTGTTTACCTTGCGAATTAGCGAGCAAGCTTATTTTCCGCGAGAAGTCCGAGAGATGTCGTTACTGAGGTGCTATGTTTTCAAGAAAAACTTATTCAAAGAGTTACGTCTGTTTGTCTGTGATTTAACGTTTTTATTTCAAAACTCACTAGTAAACAGCACAAATAAGAAACATCGATAACCGTGCAATGCCTCAACAAACTGATTTGAAGTTCCGGGCAGGTATGGAAAATCATTTACATTCATTTCATGCATTCATTTACATTCATTTGCCTCTAGCTTTTTTCATCAACAGCATTCCGCAAAATTATGTATACAGCTTTAGTAGGTTTTGTTATTAGCTACAACTTTTGTTCATAACTCAAATCTGTATCTCATATGCATCACCAATCAGAGCGGGCAGAACTTGTTACTGTTTTTTAGTGAATGTAAAATACATTCACTGAAAAACAGTAGTGGCTTCTGTTAGCTCTGCTTCGTCTTGCATAAGAGATACGGATTTGAAATTTTAACAAAACTTGTAGCTAATAACAAAACCTACAAAAGCTTCATACATCATTTTGCGGAATTCTAATGATGAAAAAAGTTAGGGCAAATGAATGTAAATGAATGCACGAAATGAATGCAAATGATTTTCCATGCCTGGCTCCGGGTACAGAGTTCGGGCAGGCTCTTCCATCTCGTAGATCTAGAAAACAAACCTTTCAAATACAAATATCACCTTACAAAATAAACTCTGCTCTTCTTGATTGCCTTCTTGGAGCTGCTTGGTATTCGCATCCATATTTACACTTTATTTAACTTATTTTAAAATAGTCTTAACTTCATACTTACGAAAACAAAAACGCGGAAGACACTGACGCAAGGAACCCGATTTACTGATGTGATCGGTTATTTCACAATTTCAGTTAATGACAGATCAATATCCACCATTGTGGGTAATTTTCTACGGTAAATTCATCACTTGCCCTTACCATAAATAGTTTATAGCAACAGTAATTTCACGTAGAAAAACTGAATACTCGGTGGATTTTGTATTTTATCGTTCGAAAACTGTTTAAAAAATACAGTGAAACTGTATTTCAGTGTGCGGGAATCTATTCCTGTGGGATACATTAATAACTCCGAAACGAAGCATTTCAATGACTTGGCGTCTTGAGCGAATTTTCTCATTATAATAAGGGCCGAAGGAGTATAGTCGCTATATTCTTAGTCTGGCGGATAGAATTTTGATCTATCAAAAAGCGGAACCAATTCAATATATTTTAGACCAACAATTGAAAGGGTACTATCAACTTTTTTTAAAACGTTGATTATTCTTTCCTCGCCAATCGAATGCAAATTACCGGCATCATCGGATAGGGGAAACTTTCCTCAACCCAAAGATTTTGTTAGTTTGTGTAGGCGAGCCTTGAGTCACGAGAAAATTGTATCCGAAGTATTGTTCGCAATAGCTGATGTGCTCTTTTCTGTTGTTGGTCGTGATTTGCTCGATTGGTTCCGCTATTTGACAGCTCAATTGGTTCCCGAGATTCTATCCGCCAGACTACGAATATAGCGACTATACGAAAGGGTTGGTCATTCTACACGCTTATTTTTCGCCAGCTGTTTTCTCAGTGTGTCTCACGTGTGCCGCAGCTGTGCCAGCAGTGCCGAGAATGTCAGTTATCATCAGACTGAATTTGTTTGCTTGTATGGCAATCCGGTTAATTTAACAGTTCAAATGTTTTGAAACAAAACAACAAGCAGTGGAATCCTATCCCAGATCCTAAACATCCTAAACAAGACGATGTTCCAGAGGCGCATAAGCAGATACAGGACAACCTGGTTAAATCGGAGGGGTTAAGGGGTTAAGAATGTGATCGAGTTCCTCCGTCCGCGGGACAACGAGCACGGCAAAGATATCATCGAAGCGCATCTGATGGCATCCAAAATCTATAGCCGCTGGAACGGGCTCATGGTATCGATGCCAACCACCCGACTGGGACAACACGGATGAACGGTTCGAGGTGGCCAAGGTTATATACCAACTGGATGACAAGAAACGGGACGAAGCGGTTAAGTTGAGCTTGCGACGAAAATGTTCCTGCTGCTTAAAGGCTGTGGCTGCTTTAACGGTGAGCAGGTGAATACATTCACAAAACGCTGCCAAATGCGACTTCCTATTCGGTTGTGTTCGCTGGTGGACTACCCGCAGTCATCGTCGATGGTGTCTTCAGCGACCGCTACTACCATTATCACCGGAACGGTCATGTGCCTGGTGGAGTAACAGTAATCGAAAGCCACCATGCCGCAAAATAAAAACCAACTACTAAAACTAGCCTATAGATGATTTCAAGTTGGTCAAACTAAAGCACAACACGGAGTAGTAGTTGAGGGCACTGCTTCCACTCACTTGCTAAAAAAATGTCGTCACCTACGGTAGTAGAAGCTCCACCAACGACACCGCTTCTGCTGACCTTTTCGCTGACTTTTTCCGAAGTGTTTTCGAACCCGATCAAACTCCTCCACCGCAGCAATACATTGATCAGCTACCAAGATACGACATTCACCTGCAGCAGCTCATCTTCAGTCAAGACGCTATTCTCAAAGCCCTTTGCTCAGTCGATCCATCGAAAGGTCCAGGCCCGGACCGTATTCCACCGTCTTTCGTCAAGAACTGTGCAGCATCGTTGGCCACTCCCCCGTTATGTCTATTTTCAATCGATCGCTTAAAGATGGCGTTTTTCCGGAAGCCTGGAAGCTCGCCTCAATTACACCAATCTTCAAGTCCGGTAACATGCACAAAGTGGAAAATTACCGACCTATCTCGATCCTGAACTGCTTGGCCAAAGTTTTTTTTTTTTATCTAGTTCGTTTATTTGGAAGGCTCAATCGCGTTAGCTTTACGGAGCCGATAATTCATTGTTCACTGTGTGTAACAAGATTCACTTAATTCTATGTCTAGTAGGAGTTGGGCCGATTACTCGCGGCTTACTCGAGGTTAGAAGGGTACATTTTCGAAGGATAGGATCAGGGGAGGAGCTTGGGGTAGGGTTTCGTTGTCTCATCAGAGCGTTGTCGCCAGTATGAACGGTAGTGCTGTTCTAGCTTCCTGGCCAAAGTTCTCGAAAGTCTGCTGCATGAGAAGTTGTATCCAGCTGTTCAACCCATAATCTCAGAGTTTCAGCATGGATTCATGAAAAAGCGCTCGACAGTCTCTAACTTGATGACTTACACGAACACTCTTATAGGTAGCATCGAGAAGCGTCAGCAAGTGGACTCCGTTTACATCGACTTCTCTAAGGCTTTTGACAAAGTCCCTCACGACCTAGCCATTATGAAGCTAAACCGCCTTGGTCTTCCACCGTGGATCGTTTGTTGGTTGAAATCATACTTATCATCCAGGAAGGCTTTCGTTAAGGTACGTGATTCTAGATC